ATTCGCGCTACCTGGGTTCAAAATGTCACTGCAGATCAGTAGATTTTCTAGAATTTTTTTTTTTTTGTGTCCACTATATCCTGTATTCTTCGCACATGTTTAAAAAGCTGATTCTGCAGTTCCATCAGTCGTTTATAGTACTACACAAAATGGAGAAATAATCGTGACTCATTTAATAATGCGTGAGTTTCACGTGAATTGCGTGGATTGTCGCTGTTAATAGGGCAATCATTGCATTAATCCTTCAAATACATTGTTCTTTCATGAAAAAGCTTATATGGACGATTCTGCTCTGTAGCAGTGCAGCTTCGATCAAAGTAACCATTGTAAAATTACTTGCTTTTTGTAAGAGTGAAATTACGCTAGAAAGGTCAATCCCATTATAATTTTACATATTCAGTGTGAATAAAAAGCTGATTTTGTAGATTCGTCATTCGTTTTTTGCACTAAAAAATAAAGAAGTAGCCAAGATTCATCCGATGTATTGGTTTCACATGAGTTACGCGACTTTTTACGCGAACGGGCCTTGCGCGACTAAGATAAACTGAAATGATAATATACATATTGATATGGTAGTAACTGTAAAATCCTTATATCTCGCATTTCTAGCTCTCCCTACACATATTTCCTGGATTTTAGACTTCAGATCAATTGTTAGGACGTATTAAAATTTTAAAGTTGATTCCCGGTTATACGACACATTCTAAATATAATTTCACTCATACAGATTGGTTTCGAGATATGATGTTTGCAAAATCCAGGCTTGAAAATAAGGATGCAGGAAAGCTTTCATTTCGAGAATTTTGAAATTAAAATTCGTAGTTAATTTGCGCTGGTAATCCACTTAGTTGCAGTTTCATCGTCATGTTTCTTCTCGAAATCCAGCAACTTCTCCGTTCATCTTGACTCTGGCTTCTTGCACCCATGTATGACTGCGTTTGGTTACCCAACATCATAAATAATTTCTTCTTTTTGCAAATTTTGCTGAATTGTTAGCGTACTTTTACATATAGACGTGACTTATAATCCGATTTGTGTTATGCACCGTGAGCTTTAATCATTTCCAAACGTGACATAATATTTTGCAGCATTGTGTTGATTTTTAAGACCACAACGGGGTATACTTCCTTGACACCACTAACACAGGATCCTTGCACTGATTGCCCAGACAGTATTGAAAATCGTATTTCACTTTGAAAATCTGATCAACTGTGCAACTCATAGCGATATCTTCCATCTACACAGCTAGCAAGTTTTCCAGTTACTTTGACCAATGCCGAAGTGCCTGGTGTCAGCCTGCTGCCGATTTCAGTTTCTGTCCTCGTTAAAAATTTGCTTTGCTTCAGTGGTAAGGTCAAACATTACGGCACAGGAAAATCTGCAGACTGATTCCTGGTTCATAATTTTACTCACGAACAACGACTGTATATAAAGTCACTCTTTTCCCCCTTTTTCCGTAACACCCCGACAGCTAATTCTGTTTCAGTCTACCACGTCAGCATGTAATTTACTTCATTTGACGTCGAATCTCAAAGCAACTCGTGCTGCCCGGCGTAGCAGCTGCCTCTACTAATAGCACCAGTATTCATGAGTAATTTGGGTAATTTGGGACAATGACGAAAATATTCAAAACATTCGTGCTCATCTCGCTCTTTTCGGCATCCAATGGCCAAGATAATACGGTAAGCGTGAAAAGCATGAAATTTCTTAATAACTGTAAACTCCAAAGTCATTTTTTTCAGGCTAACGAGAATTCTAAGCCGAAAAACTAGGCCAACGATTCAAATTTTCAAAATCTCAGTTCATTCGCTAGTTTGCTTGTGAATTTCTACAAGTGATACATACTTACACTTCCAGACACGCACAATACATGCTCGCGTGCATATATGCATGCATACATACATACAAATATTCAAAACCGTGCCAATATGCGTTTTTGTTGCATTTACATAAAGGCGGGAAAAGGCAATAACAGACTGGAGTGCTTTTTTTAAAATTGTGCATTTACCGACGGTTTCTAAGCTAAACGAATTTTTCATTGATTACAGAGTTTCGCCAACATTTTGCAATATTTGCATGAGAACGAATTTCTACAGCGTCTTCGCAACGCACCGGATAGCAGCTATGCACAAAGTAAAAATTTTTCGATTATAGAAGTCGGAGAATCCAGCGTAGAAAGGCAAAAACAGATGCACCCTTTTTATAGCTAGTATACAGGAGGATCCAGGGCGAACTCCTGGAGGAGGGAGGAGCGAGGGGGGAGAGGAATCCTCTCTCATCTTGGAACTATGCGAAAACTAAAAATAGTATTGTAATACTGCTAATTAGAGTTATTT